CGAAAATCACTCTTGACCCTTACCCAGTAGACATACGCTGACAGTCATATGGACATTTTCTGCGAATCACAATTCTTCGACATAAGGAAGGCGTCATCTTGTACAGCTCGCTTCATCACCTTGTTACTCGTTACGGTGGTCTGCGTTGCGATAATTTCTCCTCCTAGTATGAACGAAAAAGTTACTTTGAGTTTACGCATAGCAGCTGAGGCGGTGAACCGTCTTAAAATTATATGATTCTTTAGCTAGGATGCAGAAGCGAAAACATAATAATTCACATACAATTATGCAATAATCTCTCTACATATAAAGCAAAATCTGTAAGTTTTTGCATACTCCCCATAATCATGAAAGATGAGCGATAAAGCTTATTTAGATTTGCCGGTCAAAGATACGGGTAAGGAAGGTTGCGAACCGAGACGTGTCGGAATCAAAGGAAGGACAACTTTTGCTACATGAAAAGTTAAGCACGGTGTTCCTGGTCCGAACCGGAAGCCGGGAAGCCAGCTTCGTAAAAATTAGAATCAAGAGGTACAGTTTTTTTCTGAACTGCTTTCCTTACCTGAGTGTGTCCATGGTCTGCCGTGAAAATAATATTCACTTTGTCTTCGAGACCACTCGCTTTCATCCTTTCTGCAAAGTAGCCAAAAAGAATGTCCAGCTTCCGCATCATTGCTTCATACTCGCCGTTGTAAAAGCCATGCGTATGTAAAACATGGTCAGGTTCGCCGATATACCTAAAAAGTGGGATGTGCAAAAATTGGGCTACCTTGAAGCCAACCAAGCTACGAAGTTGACAGGCGATTGAGAGTTGGTAAATAGCTCAACTATTTCATCAACGTCAGTCTTCCATTCTTCCAAAGGGCGGAAATGCGTCCAAGCTCTGCAATTAGCTTTGTGATCTGCAATCACGAACTAAGTTCAGTTTCTCTGAGCCTTGTTATAGTTGAACATACGAATAATGTGTCAAGTTCTTACTGAAAAAGCACGATAAAACTATCGACTTTAGTGGTTGGCTTCAAATCAGAGCAATCAAGTTTTGGCTAACTGTTTCAATATAAACTTTCTAAAATTGCTCATTATTTGAATAGCGAGATGAGATGTGGTATTGAAGGTTAGGTTTTACCATTGAATCTGGTAGCTAAATTTCTATTTGATGTAAATGAAGCAAGCTCCTTTGTATGATTAGATCGTAAAACTCTTTATGAAAATGTATTGCTCGATGCAAGCAATATGATTTTGATTAATGGTGAGAAATTTGATTTCAAGTTTTTATGCACATAATGAGCGCATCTGGCTTCACTAAAAGGGTCTAAACTCGGCGGAAATAGTAGTCAGCTGCCTTATACCGCAACGTTTCGATTTAGACCAATCTATCGATGGCTAATTCTGAAAAAAAAATTGTTAAAGAAAAACACAGTTTCACTTTCTCAAGAATCAGAGCTGCAGCATTGTCCGGATTAAAATTCAGTGCTCTGAGTTTTTTCAAGCCATTTTCAGCTCTCTGCAAAGTAGAAGGATACTAGTTG